GTGTATTAGACCTGAGGATTGAAGATGGCAGTTGCACAGATTATGATCAGGAGAAGGAGGAGACGTTGAACAAATTCTTTTCCTCAGTGTTCACAAAAGAGGATGCGAACAATCTTTCTTTGTTTGACACAGCACTGACCCATAGTGTCTTCTCAGAAGTGAGTATAAGAAATATATTGACAGAGGTAAAAGGTTCATAAGAGTTCTGGCCCTGCTGATATGGTGCACCCCTTAAGATCCTGTTCTGAAAAAGCCTGGACGAACAAAAGGTCACCAGTGACTGGAAAATGGCTTACTGTATGTGAATCCTATATTCAAGAAGGGTGATCGTCACTCCACGAACAACTATAGACCAGTGAGCCTGACCAGCATAGTTTGTAAAGTACTTGAGTGAACATAAGAACATAAGAATGGAGGAAACTGCAGCGGGCCGATTGGCCCATACTAGGGAATCCCGCTTCCACCCAACCCCTATCGCTCAAATATCCATCCAACCTATGTTTGAAGCTATCCAGCGTATTCGAGTTAATGGTGATATTTGGTAACTTTTTCCACTCGTCCACTACTCTATTTCCAAACCAGTGTTTACCTATTTCGCGCCTAAATCTAAATTTGTCTAATTTAAAACCATTGTTACGAGTTCGCTCCTGGTTGGATAGTTTGAGTACTTTTGTTATGTCCCCTTTGTTCAGCCCTGACTTCCATTTATACACCTCTATCATATCGCCCCTCACTTTACGTCTCTCGAAGGAGTGCAAATTAAGGTGCTTTAACGGTCCAGTGGTATCAAACTCAAAACCTTTCGAGGGCCAATTCTTATTTTAGATACCCTCTTCAGGACCAACACAAGTGCTATATCACATATTTGCAGGATTGAAGTTTACAGCTTCACACATCGCCTTACCGGGCTTACTAGGAATACCTCACTTGGGTTTGTCCGATCTTAAGTATGTAAAATTCACTTTACTTAATAAACATGATTAACGCTTCCTCCGTAACCTTCCTGACCTCTCGTACGTCTACGGGAAAGGGTCGCGGAAAGGGGACGTGATTGCTGCCCGTATCATCATTGGGTATGATTTTGCTTGGGAGATTGGTATCCCCGCATCCCCTGAGCAACGCTCTTGTGCGTTATGCAGAAGACCCGACAGCCGCACCCTTATCCACTACCTCCTAAGATGTCCCCACACACAACGCTTCCGTGACGCCTGCTGGACCACCACTCCACGACCCCATGACGGAGACACGATGATCCTCCCCATACTGGCCAGATATTTTGTAAATAATATTGATAATGTATAAAAGGAATATCCTTCCTTCCTTAGGCTTTAGTAAGCCCCTTTATAATATTTATACTGTATATACTTGTCACACTTGCCAGATGATTCTGTTGTCATTGTACAGGGGTACCTAGTGACAGCACTAGGATCCCGCTTCCTCTATCAAGGAATAAACAATTGAAATTGAAATTGATTAACGCTAATAATAGGATAGAAAAAGGCATATATATGTTTTCTTTATAATCATTTCCCCATTTCAGTAGTGTTATTACTAGCATTAACAATATAAATTCAATTATTGCCACAATGATGTAAAAATCATTTCGGAATTTATTGACCTTTTCTTATCTGCATTTTTCCTTCATATCTATTTTATCATAATTTCACGGGCTGATATATTTTACCGTCATCCCGCGAGCACCACCTGACCATCCCAAGGACCACATTTGGCCCGCGGGCCACGAATTTGACACTCCGTAACCTGTCTCTGTACTTAAGGTTCCTAATGCCCGAAATTAGTCTTGTCATTCTCCTCTGAATTCTTTCGAGGGATTCTTTATCCATTCTGTTGTACGGTGACCAGAACTGGACTGCGTAATCCAAGTAAGGTCTGACAAGCGCAAGATATAGTTTTAGGATAACCTCGCTAGTCTTGTAACTAACACTCCTTTGTATGAACCCAAGTACTCTGTTAGACTTGTTTCGAGCAAAAACACACTGTTGTCTTGGTTTAAGATTCATACTTATCATTTCTCCTAAATCTTTCTCACAGTCGGATATCTCTATAACAATGGTGTTCATCTGATATCTGGTTTCTCTGTTTACATCTCCTAGACAAAGTACTTTAGGTGTCCACATTGAATTTCATCTGCCACTTTTCAGACTATGCGAAAAATTTGTTTAGATCTTCCTGTAGTTTTACAGAGTCCTCGTCAGATTTAATTACACGCCTTATTTTAGTGTCATCAGCAAATTTACTTATGTTGCTGTCTACGCCGATATCTATGTCGTTTATGTATATAATAAATAATAATGGTCCAAGTACTGAGCCTTGGGGAATTCCACTAGTGACGTTACCCCAATCGGATTTAGTGCCGTTGATGCTCACTCGTTGTTTCCTGTCCTGTAACCACGCCCTAATCAATTTTAGAATATCTACTCCACTTCCATGAGCTTCTACTTTTCGCATTAGTCTTTCGTGGACGACTCTGTCGAAGGCTTTGCTAAAGTCGTGTCCGCCGTCCACTGATTCGAAAATAGTTGAAAAAAATGTTACTAGAATAGTTAGACATGAACGCCCATTTGTGAAACCATGCCGTGGATCATTGATCAACTTCTGCTTTTCCAAGTGATTTCGAATAGATTTTGAAATTATTACTTCCAGCAATTTGCCTACAATTGACGTTAAACTGACTGGTTGGTAGTTAGAGGATAGTCGGTGATCTCCCTTCTTGAAAATCGGTATCACATTCGCTATCCTCCAGGATTCTGGTACTACACCTGTTTTTAAGGACATGTTAAACAACTTTGCTAAAGGCATACTAAGCTCCTCCTTACATTCCTTTAATACTCTGGCAAATATCTCATCGGGACCTGGTGACTTATTAGGCTTTAGTTTGTCTATTTGCTTACTAACATCGTTACTAGTCACTCCTATCTCGCTTAATTTATTTTCTTCACTATCTCTGAATAGAGTCGGTGCCTCGGGTATCATGTTTAAAATTTAGGTGAAAACTGTTGAAAAATATCTGTTCATATTATTTATTGCTCATTTCTCCGTCGTTACCCGTTAGCTCGCCGGTACTTGACTGTACTGGTCCAAAATTGTCTCGTGTTTTAGTTTGATACATTTGGTTTTAACAGATGCCACAATGGAACATCTACTACGAAACAACCTTGCAAGGGACTGCCAACACGGTTTTATGCGGGTTCGCTCCTGCTTAACACAATTACTCAAGATACTGGATGTTTGGACTCCAATTGTAGAATAGGGCAGCGATATCGACAATATATCCCTAAAGTTTGCTGAGGCTTTCGACAGCGTACACGAAAGGGTGAGACTTAAACTGCATTAATAGAGACTGAATGTGAAAAGGACCTGGATCTGTATGTTGACAATGAATTGGAATTCTCGGACCATTGTGAGAAGAAGGTGAATCAAGCAACTAAACTAGTAAGTCTTATGAGAAGGTCGTTCAGATATCTTCAAGAGTAAAGTGCTTTCCCACCTGGAGTACTGTCACCCCGTCTGGTCCCAGGAATATGCTAGAGACTGTCAGTTGATTGAAAATGTCCAAAGGAGGGCCACTAGACTGGTGCCTGAATTACGGCACCTCAGCTATCCAGGGATTTTAGAACGCCTGCAACTGCCTAGCTTATACTACAGATACGGGCAAGGGGCGACCTAATTGACGTGTATAAACATCTCAGAGGGAACTACTCAGTCGAGTGTACACACCTGGAGCTGGCGGACGCCCGGCCCACCAGGGGTCACAGCTCAAGGTTGATGAAGCCAAAACTCCAGAAAACTGTGAGGGCAAACTTTTTCGGAGAGAAAGTTGTGAACTCTTGTAACACCAGGTGTGAGCAGATTCAGGGCCAGACTTGACCAACACTGGAGCAGGTTCCAATACATTCAGGATCCAGTACTTGCCCAGTACTTGCCAACAGTGCGTAACATAGACGTGACCGATCGTCCAAGCAGCTGACAAGCCGATCAGTAGCGAAGAGGATAAAAGTGAAAGTATAATGAGCATATTAATTAATGATGAGTGGCTCTTGGTAACGAATTATTAGTTAACATGTACAAACAACTACAGAAGAACTGAAACAACAACTACAACAGCATAACTTAAACAACAAAACAACATTAACAACTAAAACATTAAACACATCAATTTAACATTAACTTCACCACAATATAACCTAACCTAACCTAACCTAACCCAATATGGTCACACACTGTACCCTGGGAGCAACACTGTCATCACCAAGTTATCGTTATTATTATCGTTATCTCAACAACTCAAGACGTATCATAATTACCTGACAAAAATAATTATAATGTTTTCTTTTTCCTTTAACGTATAAACAGTGCAGATCACATGGAGGTTATTATCCCTAATGTATTTCAACCTTAAGAATAATTACTATATTAATAACCTAACTTAAGTATATCTAACTTAAATTAACCTAACATAACATTTAATAATACATCATCTTTAACTTAAGCTAAACTTATCCTAACCAATTTAACCTAACCTAAACTTAAACCTAACTTAACCTACCCAAACCCAATCTAACCTAACCTAACCTAACCTAACCTAAACTTAAACCTAACTTAACCTACCCAAACCCAATCTAACCTAAATCTAACCTCCACAGGTAATAAGCATTAGGTCTTTAATTATCAGGTGAAATAATCTGTGTGTAGAAGATAATTAATAATATTCAGGTGATCCCAAAATACACAAATACATCAGAGATTGATAATAAAACAATGACAGAGGAAAAACACCTTCATATCTTGTTTAGCCTTTACTGTTTGTGGGGGGGGAGGGGGGGATAGGGGGATAGGGGGAGGGGGGATGAAGGATAGGGGAGGGGGGGATGGGGATAGAGGAAGGAAGGGGGGGAATATAGAGTTGGTACACGAAGATAAAAGATAATGATAAGACAATGAGTGTAAGTAGGTGGAGCACAGGCAGATGTTAGTTCAGTGATTACCTCCACCTGTGACACACCTTTTGGCCCTGTTCTTCTAATTTTTCAAGTAAGATATTTTTTTTTTTGTGTGTTTGTATGTTTTAATTATTTTTCGGTGTGGGTGGATGGAAAGGTAGATAAATAAACAGACGAGGAGGGAAGAGGGAATGAGTGAGGTGATGATGTTAGACCTGTATAGAAAGTAACTGGTATGAGGGAGAGATAGTGGATAAATGCTACACACACACACACACACACAAACACACACAATGGTTGCCCCTCCAGATCGAGAAATGCCTCAAGGGCAACCTAGGCGTGAATTTGTATAAGGTGTAGAAACTGTCGCCACACAATAACCACCCTAATATAATGCACACACCTTAAACGGCTGCATGACCCAGTGTTTAAGGTAGAAGCTGTCGCCAACACAATAACCAACCTACGTTAACGAGTTGCATGATCCAGTGTATAAGGTAGAAGCTGTCGCCAACACAACAACCATACACTAATATAATGCACACACTTTGTTAACGAGCTGCATGACCCAGTGTTTAAGGTAGAAGCTGTCGCCAACACAATAACCACACCCTACGTTAACGAGTTGCATGACCCAGTGTTTAAGGTAGACGCTGTCGCCAACACAACAACACACCTTAAATTAACGAGTTGCATGACCCAGTGTTTAAGGTGTAGAAGCTGTCGCCAACACAACAACCACACCCTGAGTTAACAGTTGCATGATCCAGTGTTTAAGGTGCAGAAACTGTCAACACAACAACCACCCTAAGTTAACGAGTTGCATGATCCAGTGTTTAAGGTAGAAACTGTCGCCAACACAACAACCACACGTTAACGAGTTCATGATCCAGTGTTTAGTAGAAACTGTCGCCAACACAACAACCACACCTTAAGTTAACGAGTTGCATGATCCAGTGTTTAAGGTGTAGACGCTGTCGCCAACACAACAACTACACCCTGAGTTAACGAGCTGCATGACCTGTTAATATGTAGAAGCTGTCGCCAACACAACCACACCTTAAGTTAACGAGCTACATGACCCAGTGTTTAAGATGTAGAAGCTGTCGCCACACAACAACCACACCTGTTAACGAGTTGCATGATCCAGTGTTTAAGGTGAGACGCTGTCGCCAACACAACAACCACACCCCTAAGTTAACGAGTGCATGATCCAGTGTTTAAGGTGTAGACGCTGTCGCCAACACAACAACCCAAGTTAACGAGCTGCATGACCCAGTGTTTAAGATGTAGAAGCTGTCGCCAACACAACAACCACACCCTGAGTTAACGAGCTACATGCTCCAGTGTTTAAGGTGTAGAAGCTGTCGCCAACACAACCACACACCCTGAGTTAACGAGCTACATGACCCAGTGTTTAAGGTGTAGAAGCTGTCGCCAACACAACAACCACACCCTGAGTTAACGAGCTGCATGATCCAGTGTTTAATATGTAGGCTGTCGCCAACACAACAACCACACCTGAGTTAACGAGCCATGACCCAGTGTTTAAGATGTAGAAGCGTCGCCAACACAACAACCACACCTTAGTTAACGAGCTACATGACCCAGTGTTTAAGGTGTAGAAGCTGTCGCCAACACAACAACCACACCCTAAGTTAACGAGCTGCATGACCCAGTGTCAGGAATAGTCCAAGAAGACCGACAACTGCCAACTGCACTGGCTAACCATTACCCCGGAATACAATCCACAAATCGATTAACATCCAGGTTCCCAATTACTGCTGGGAAGACAGAGGCAAATGGCGTAAAAAACTTGCCCATAGTTTCACCCTGACCGGTGATCGAACCCGGGTCTAATCGCTTGCGAGGCGAGCATGCTGACCATTACACCACACTGACACACACTCACACACTCTCATTCTCTCTCACACACACACACACACACACACACACACACACACATATTTAATAGCACCCAGACCAAGATATGGTATACAGTCCTTCTGGCAGAGATAACAAAGAGTCATTGTAAGTAAAACATTTACTTCTCCGCCTCTACCTAACAGATACTAAAAACTGGAACTATTGCTTAAAAACTCAACCCCCAAAAATCTGAAATCTATTATAATCTAGGTCTACATATTAAACTCATACCAAAATTCGAAATCTGCAAAAATAACCAGTACTATAAGTATTGCATTACATAGTACAAATTCATCCCTAAATATGATAATACTGTACCCTCATATTTCTGTAACTCTATATTGTACTCTTAGATCAGGTTTTTGTAATATCTCCTATGCATTGTATTTATATGGTATGATGTTCGCATTATATTTACATTCTCGTTCGTTATCTCTATTATGTACAGGTTCTATATACAGGTAATTTAAGCCAGGTGTATACGATGGCTCACGGTAATTACACAGGTGATACAGCCATACGTGTCATTAAGGTAAATTTGTTCACCTCGACCACCTCACGATTACCATTGACGCTTTTATAGTTGTATGTCTAATGGGCTCCAGACCTAATAGATTCAACCCAATTTAGCATAACCATTAAGATTGGACATTATTCAAAATGGGGTCCCATTAAACTACGGCCTGTTAAGATGAGCCTATTAAGATTAGGGCCCAATTATAACTGGGGCCTATTAAGACTGCGGTCCCATTATTACTGGGGCATATCAGGACTGGGGGACAATTATAACTAGGGCCTATTAAAACTGAAATCCAATTATAACTGGAGCCTTTTAGGATCGGGGTCCCTTTGAATACACCTCAACTACCTGGATGGTCATTAAGGAGGATGCTAAGTACTAACTTAAAAATCCCACAACAACTATTACCTGACTATCGATTAACCTACACAGGCTGTACAGGTGAACGTACGAACAAGTTTACCTGTCTATGTGGCCAAGTGAAACACCCCTCCCACCTCCCTCGCTGGTTCTACCTACCCTCGTCACAGCTAAGTTCATAGTGCCATAACTCTGTATAATAATGCCAAAAGAGCCTGATAATTTAACTCATAAGAACATAACATAAGAGCATAAGAATGTAAAAAACTGCAGTGGGCCTATTGGTCCATACTGGGCAGTCCCGTTTACACCCAACCCCTATCGCTCATATATCCATCCAACCTTTGTTTGAAGCTATCCAGCGCATTCGAGTTAATAATGATGTTTGGTAACTTGTTCCACTCATCCACTACTCTATTTCCAAACCAATGTTTACCTATCTCGCGCTTAAACCCAAATTTGTCTAATTTAAAATCATTGCTACGAGTTCCCTCCTGGTTGATAGTTTGAGCACCTTGTTATATCACCTTTGTTTTACCCTGACTTCCATTTATACACCTCAATCATATCGCCCCTCACTCTACGTCTCTCGAGGGAGTGCAAATTAAGATGCTTTAACCTGTAGTACGGTGACCAGAACTGGACTGCGTAATCCAAGTGAGGTCTCCCAAGCGCAAGATATAGTTTTAGGATGACCTCGCTAGTCTTGTAACTAACACTCCTCTGTACAGGACTATGACTGTAAGGTCTTATTATGATGACTTTACACACCGAGATTGATTCTAATGCTTTGTTATCTGTTTACGCTATCATAATCTAAACTCCCAGACGTAAGAATGGATGAAGAACAGGTATTTTATATCACCTGAATATTAGCCCCTACATTATATGTATGTATGTATGTATGTATGTATGTATGTATGTATGTATGTATGTATGTATGTATGTATATATGAATGTATGTATGTATGTATGTATGTGGTCAAACCAGCACCTGGCCTCGAGGAGTGTGACAACAGGTGATGTGAGCCTCTGACCATCTGGGCGTCAACGAGGTCGTTTAGTTCACAAGTTGAGGGTTGTTCCGAGCACAGGATTAGAGCTAAATTTGTTTACCATTGCTAATTATCGAGGTACTGTGAGCTTAAGTTAGGTTAGGTTAGGTTGCAGTAGGTTAGGTTAGGTTAGGTTAGGTTGCAGTAGGTTAGGTTAGGTTAGGTTGCGTTGGTTAGTTGAGGTTGCAGTAGGTTAGTTTAGGTTAGGTTGCAGTAGGTTAGGTTAGGTTAGTTTAGGTTAGGTTGCGTTAGGTTAGGTTAGGTTAGGTTGCAGTAGGTTAGGTTAGGTTAGGTTGCAGTAGGTTTGGTTAAGTTCGTCTATATTAGCTTAGGTTAGGATGGGTTGCATTAGGGTGGGTTGGGTTGGGTTGGGTTAAGTTTAGTTAGGTTGGGTGTGATTGGGGTGGTTAGGTTAGGTTAGGTTAGGTTAGGTTAGGTTAGGTTAGGTTAGGTTTGGTCAGGTTAGGACTAGGTTGTTTAATCACCAAGTAAAATAAGTTGAGGTTCCAATTCTTCATGAGGTACCAACTATTAAACACAAGAGAAGAACACACGTTCCTGTCCCGTGATATATTATGTACAGCCTCTAGTGACAATATTACTAAATTAGGTCACGTTTATCATTCACTCATTCCCTCACTGGCCAAAAAAATTCCTAAGTCGAAAACTGTGGAAAAATTACCCGGTATAGGCCTATAATATACAATGACCAAAAGCTTCAAAATATTAAGATAACCCAATTAAGTATATGTAAAAGTGTACGAATACCAATGCTTTAGGTTGTGTAATATTAACGTTAATCCTATTGACACAATTGGGTGAGACGAACCTACAGGAGAACAGTCATGCAACTCTTAACCCTAAAATAATAACTACGTTGTTTTAAAGCTCCTACAATAATAATAACAACGTTAAGGTACACCAACTGATGTTATTAATCAGTTGTAATTAGTATAACCCAATTTAATAGTTATTATTTGCATTAAAATTCCTATAAATTCAGTATGAACGATAATTATCATTTTAAATTTATAATAACAAATAATCACCAAACAGTGGAAGGGTCGTAGCGAGGGTGTGTGTGTGTTGGCCCAGGTGTTGGGTATGCCACCGCGGGTACCAAAACAAGTCAGTCTTGTTCACAACTAGTGACTGTACACACTCTCACCCACCTGAGACTGTGTTGAAGTGCACCAAACGATCCTCACAGTGGACAAGGAACCTTCTGTG